AAACAACCAACTATAACGGTAAGAAATCTTCTCAAAATTGTGAGAAAATTTGGCGAAAATTCCGTTAGATTGGACAAAGGACAAAAGCGTAGTTAATCAAGCGGCCGCCTTTCTTACCCTCGCACCCTACCAAAAAAAAAAATATCACAAACAAACAACAACAAAAATCACCCAAAAAATAGGCAAGACACAAAAAAAATCACCCAACAAAAAAAATTGCATTGTTCGAGCCGAAAAAAAAAAGTGAACCAAGAAAATTTCAATTTTGCCCAGTTTTTACGAATTTCTCAATTTTTTTACATTAAAAAATTGCGCATTATTGACGCGCATTCAGGCTGAGTTTAGGGGTTGCTCAGGGATCGCTGCCCTAAAGAGAGAGGGAGAGGGGCAGAGGGAGAGAGTGAGAGAGGAAGAGAGCGCCCCGCACAAGTGGCTAAGCTGTGCAGGATCTTTGGTAATGATCCTTGACAATGATCCTCAATTTTTACCCTTGAGTTTCTTAACAACATTTTTTTTCCCATTTTTTTTTTCTGCCTGATTTCGGCGCGCAATTTTCTTCACAGTTTTTACAATAAAATCAAGGAAAATGCAGCGCAGATTTTTTCTATTTTTTCCCATTTTATTTTTTTTTGGGCGAAGGGTTGCATTTGACAGCAACATTTTGTTGCGGCAAGTCGAATTCAATAAGCATTAATGACAGAATGGCAGAATTTGGGAATAGGTTTAAGTGGCAAGAAGAAGAGCAAAGACGGCGCTTAAATGCGGAAGTAAAGGGACAATATTTTGTTGCTGTTGTTGTTGTTGTTGTTGTTCTTTATTCTTGAGGTTTGCCTTTGATTTGCGATCGATTTTGTGCCCGATTTTGGCGCGCTTTTCTTCGCAGTTGAGCAAAGACATGTGTGAGAGAAATTGTTAAGCCTTTGGCATTTGTTTCCAGAAAGTGCAAATGTTGTAGAACTTAAAGCAAAGCAACAGAAATTCAAGAAATCTTTGCAAACAGCTGCAACCCTTAAAGAGAAGAGCAAGAAGCAGCTGGAAATTGAACTCGGACTCGAACTAGTCTCAACTTATTTACTTAACACGCAAATTGGGTTGTCATTTTGAATGCAACATCGCGAGCCACTGAGGTTTCTGCTTCGCTGGTCTGTGCGTTTTTCATGCAAAGTGCGTCCGTCCCCTTTGCGATGCTGCCAAGCGTTTATTTTCTTGATTAATTTCACAATGTGTATGTTTTTTTTTTGGGGGGGCAAAACTTTGTTGCCGCCCCCCATTTTGTGTGGCATATTTACATGCGTTCGTCTGCCTGTGTGTCGCCCTGCCTCTCCCTCTCCCTCTCGCTCGCCCTCGCCCTCTCCCCCTTTTCTGTGTTCGTCTCTGTCTGAGACTGCGAACTGTCTGTTTTTGGCAAATAATCAAATTGCCCAGACACTGGGCACTGCAGATTGTTTATCTTTTGTTTCAGTCCGTGACAAGTTTAATCAGGCTACGTGCATGGGACAGGACACAGGCCGCAGGCCACAGGACACAGGACAGCGCAGTCAAAAGGATAACTATTGAAATTAGTTGGCAGTTGTTCGGTTTTTCTCAAACGCAAAAAGGGGAACGCTTTATACGCAGATTCTCTATTGATTTTCCGGACTCGTTTCTCTCTCTCTCTGTGTGTGTTTTTCTTCCACTTAAATCATTTTGGCACTTTAATGCTGCCAGACAAAGTGCGGCAAAGTGGGCGGGAGGCGGGGTTGGAGTGGGGTGGGCTTCGTGCTGCGGTCAGTCATATCCTGCTCGAGTCCAACATTAATTTTTGCAGTTTTAATTAAAACATTTCGAGACACACAAGCAAACCCGCGCGCATATCCTGCACATTTTTGCCGAGACTTTTTCTAATTTCTTCTTTGGCCTATACCCTGTACGCTGGCAAAGTGAGCCACAATATAACAGGGTATATTGCTTAAGCATATGTATTCCAGATCAGCAGCAAAAGTCGACGCGTTATAGCCATGTTCTCACCTCCGTTCGATCTCGAGGATTGTAAAGCCTAGCTTCTTTAGACTTTGGCATGTGAAATCGCGTTAATCAAGCTCAACTGGAGAATCTTTAGTTATTCGATAACAGCTTCCATTTGCCCCAAATCGACATATATAGATTTCCAGCTCTGACATAGTTCAGGAACACACATCTCAGATATTACAAAGATTGTTAGCATTATACCTGATACAAAAATTCTTGGAAGGGAAAGATATAGACAAGCATAATCAAAATGTTATATATATTGCATCTTACTCATATATAGCCTGATTTTTGCTATATGCACACTTTAGTATTCGTAAGATTAAGATTCCTTAAATTTCATAAAGATCGGACTTTGTAGTCCGAAGTTATTTAAGCATCAATCTTTGACAACGCGAACTTGAGGCAAGAACCTCACGAACGTCGCGTGCTTAGAGGAAAGTTTGGTTTTCTTCTGATAACAGCTCTGCAGCTAGTTACAGAGTATCTTCTAGTCGCGCATGCTCGTTTTATTCAAACTGTTTTCAAGCAAACGGCACAGCCGGCGCTGCAATCCCAGTTGCAGTTCTTTCTGCCCACTCATAATCATAAAATGTATGCGCTGTCACCGAGGCAACGTCCCCCCCCCCCCCCCCCCCCCCCTCCAGACCCCTAGCCACTAGTCTGCTCCATCCTCTAACCACTCCCGCTTCCCCTTTTCCCCATTCTTATGAACACATCGCACACGTCGCTTGCAACTGGCAAATGTTCTCGAGTTTCTCCTTTTGCCGTGCAGCAAAAACCTAGACCCCACCCCCCACAAGCCCAACCCCAGCCCCAACACACACACACACACACACAGAACGGAGCTTTCTTATGTAGAAAACAACAACAACAAAAAATAGCAAGAAGAAGAACAACTGTTTTTGTAATTATTCCCCAACACTCGCAACGCAACAACTGCGCTGATGTTTATATGAATGGATTTTGTGTTTATATAATATTCCCAAAAAAAATAGCTTCATTTTGAGCGTTTCTCAGTTCAGATTTCAGGTACAATGACAGCCCATAAATGTTTACATGTATTTATATAGATATATATGTATATGAATAGGAAGACTTACTTTGATTAGACTTATTTGCAGACAAATTCGTCGCGTTGAAAATTTATCTAAAAACAAAAAAGATTAAAATTGAAAAATTAATGTTTATAATATGCATATAATGGCATGGAATTTATTTAACTAATTAAAAGCATTTATAATAAATAATTTATAAATTAAATTGATAAATAAATAAAAAATAAATAAATATATAATAATCTATGTAAATAAATATACAAATATGTCTAGCAAAATATAGAATAAAATCTTCATCCAAATTATGAGCATTTCTTCCATGCAAATCCAAAGAAATATTAAACTTCTAGTCCTTTTTCTTAGATTTCCCTACGACAAAGTTAACAAATAATTAATTATACAATTCTCGAATCACTTCCATTATTTGCAATCATAAAAAAAGTTGGTATTTTATATATTAAAAGCGTCTATTTAACATTTATTGAATTCTGTTCAACTATTTCATAGAGTTTTGCATAAATTCTCTGCGCTTTGTCTGTTTAAATGAATAGAAATATTCATAAAAAAAAATTGTATTTATTAAGAAAACTAGAAAATAAAATTAATAACTAAAATTATAGTACAAATAATTGTGAAGAAATGATCACAGAAAATACAACAAAAATATTCCCCACCTCCTAAAGAAATTTGGCTCAAAAGCATAGACACACACACACACACACATGCATGTGTGCACATACATATGTAAATAGCATTGCATACATCTGCATTCTGCTCAATTCCTTCCATTTATATACTAATGCACACACACACACAGACACTCATGCATATATGCTCCATGTAAAGTCCAATAAGCTCAAACACCTTTACTCGCTCACGCACACACACACACACACAACATCTTAATTATGATGTATGTACTTGAGTGCAATAAGAGAAAGCACAGGGAATATGCAAAAGAAACAGTTAACGGCAAAACTGCGCAACGTCGCAGCGCTGCCTGCATGCATGCATATAGAAAGAGTGAGTGAGTGAGTGAGTGAGAGAGCGAGAGAGAGCGAGCGAGCGAGTGAGTGAGTGAGCACTGGCCACACCCATTAAACTCAAACTCTATGCTAATGCACAAAACTGTGCAGGGGCAGCGCAGAAGGTGCAGGCCAGTCGCCAAACAATGACAACAAAAGTCTAATCAGAATGCAGGCAACACACGCAAATACGTTCCACACTCACACAGACGCTCTAACGGTGCAGGGTTGATGCGCTCGAGTAGCTCGAGCTACGAGTTGCCAGTTTGAGTGCAAAGCCGTAAGCAAATGTATGCCAGAGAGTGAGTGTAAATGGCAACAAAGAAAACTAGGCAAGAGGAGAAAACAAAAAAAAATAGAGAACTACAACTACAACGACAACGACAACGACAACGACAACTGCTGCTGCAAATCATAAAGCATGCACTCACACACACACGCACACAGTGCTGCCTGCGGCGGCAGCGAACGTAACTGCAGCATTTTGTACCGTTTGTCGCTGGCTGCGCGTTGCCTTCGTTTTTCAGTTGCATTCGGCAAGCGAACGAAGTCGGTTCGGCACAGGCAAACGCAGCCGCCAATTGTTGTTGTGTGTTCTTGTCATTATTGTTATTGTTATTAAATATTTAAATTGAAAAACTAGCTGGCAACGCTGTGCGCGCGCGCGTTCTGCTGTGACTTGCAAATTACGTAGAGCACATTTGACAGCTCTCACATTTACATAAAAAACAACAAAAATAAACGCACCAGTGCCAAAAATTCTGTGAAATTTTGTACATGCACAAAATTATATATTCATAAAACTGAAAAAAAAAGAAAGAAAAGCGAAAAAAACTTAAAATGATGGTGCTACAGCAGCAACAGCAGCGCCGCTTATGGGATGCCACCAAAACAACAACAACAACAACAAGCGCAGCCGCTGCCGCCGCAGCAACAACAACAACGCAAGCAGAGGCCGCGGCAGAGGCCAGCAACAAATTGGAATTGGATAATGCGGCCGCAGAACGAAGCGTGCGTCTCATCAAGCAGCGCAAGGATCTTGAGAACTCATGTAGGCAAAAAACACAAAACAAATTCTCAATTAATTAGCATACGACAGGGTTGCCACTTGGCGCAAGCTTATCGCGGCGTTGCCAGATGCAGCTTTAAAGCTAGGCTTGACTCCTAGACTGAGCTCTGTTCTTTTTTTACGTTTTTTTTGAATACTTTTTGTGTGTTCAAATGTCTTGTGATTTTCTAGTTAATTAGGCTTACTAAAAGTTTACTCAATAGCTTTCAAGCTTAATCTAGTATCTTTTCAAGCTGTGCCTAAAATAATTGTGGGTCATTCCTAAAATCTGATAAATCTGGGCCTCTTCAGTGGATATCATGGATGGATTATCATATTCATATTCATATTGAAAATGAATCAATTTTCAACTATTTTGCTTAAATAACCTTATTTTGATGCAACAATTTTTAAAGCTTTCACCTAAAAAGCTTGATTTCAGTTTTTGTTGAAAAAGATTCAAATAATTTTTAATACTTGAAGGTTTACATTTCTCTAGATTAATTTAAATGATTTAAATGTTGGGCATTTGCAAGTTAAGTAAACAAAAGTAAAACAATTTTAAGCAAAATAGAAACAAGCTTTCAGGCACAATAAAAGCTTTATAAGTTTTGCAGTTCCAGCTTCATGTTTTAATGGAGACTATAAAAATAATAATTTTTCTTAAGATTGTATATTACCTGAATTAAAAAACTCTTAAAGCACATTAACGAGCTTTCAGGCAAAGCTCTTTTGTGCAGCTTTAAAGCTAGACTTGAGTTTTGTATAGCGCTTTTCACTTCTTTTGGGCTATTAAATAAAGCTTTAATATATTTATATAAATTTATTTAGAATTAAGAGCTGAAATCAAGAGCATTTTTTGTCCTTAAAGCTTCACTTATTCTCATGAAAACTCAGAGAAAAACTTTACTACTCTAAAAACTTAGTTTAGGCTTTTATATACATATTAACTAGGAAACAGTTTATGCCCATAAGAAATCGTAATCAGGTCTTAATCTTCTTGTACCTCCACCTCCTTCTCCCTCCACCTGTGGCTTTCACTTTCGGAAAAATTGTGCAGGAAAAACTCAACCTTGCAACCAAATGCCGCCAGAGCTGATTACAAAAGACGCACGCCCGCACCTATTGAATTGTGAGGCATAGAATTTCGATTTCCATTTTCATTTTCATTTCCATATCGAGATCTTCAATTTCATGGCATTTGGTATAGTTTTGATTCGGCATCATGAGCGGCATCTCCTGCTGTTGCTGATGCAGATGCCGCACCCCACTGTGCGTGTGATCATTATTTTGTTGGCATTTGCATCCCGCACAGAGTCCTGTGGCCGTTGTCCTTTTTTACCTGTGCCTCAGGTATTTGCATTCACACACACACACACACACACACACAAAAGGCAAGGCACATCAGGCATATGTCCTTTAAAAAATGGGCAGAGAAAAAAAACAAAGCTGCGTCTTCTTTTTTTCTCACTGTGAGGCGTGCAATTTTTCCTTAATTTTCCTGGTCATAAAAAAGAGAAGAAGAAGAAGAAAAAGAACACCACAAAAGCCAAATTTTGTGTAATTACATTTAAGCCTTAGGTGCAAGGAAATGCCTTTGCCTTTTTAATTGCCTGAAGGCAAAATAACACACACACACACACAGACACACACACAAACAGTGTGTAACATGCAGATTAGCGCCAAGTCTTTAATGTCAGAGGACTTCGAACACTGCGAGAATTCGAACCGGCAACCTCCCACCATCCATTACGAGTGTCCAATGGGGTAATCTGTATATTTATAATGTCAGGCTGAAGCATTATGCACAAGGATTCCAAGGCATTTCGTCTGCCCATATATTGTCGTAAAAATATGTCGCCTTTTTTTACCCAATCCGAGTGTGTGTGTGCGTGTGTGTGTGTGTGTGTGTCCTGCCCGCTTAGTCAAGTATGGGACACATTGTTTACGCCCCGGGGGAGCTATAAATTTAATATCTACTTTGCAAAGCAAAAAAACCCAACAAAAAACTCGGCCACAGGGTGGACACGACGAGGCCGGAGACACATATGTGTGTATTCAAAGTAACCTATGTGTGTGCGTGTGTGTGTGCGTGTGTGTGTAACTGGATTTTGCATAGATAGCCAGAGAAATAGTTCCATGTGCTGGTTAGATATGATAATGCCCCAATAAGCTATTCTGAGTAAAGATAAGCAAAGAGAAACTAAACGGGAGTGCACGACTAAAAGATACCCCAAAACCTAAGACCTAGCTTTAAAGATGAGCAAAGGGCGAAGATATGCGCAAAGTGAAAGTGAGAAGTCGCTTTTCGACTAGCAGATACCCTAGAAACTAGTGTGAAGTTGCCCTTAGAAGCATTTTAGCTGCCTTTCATGCAAATACACACACTATACGATATGCCTCCTTATGTAACTTGGCTGTTTATAGTCCGATCTCGATGAAACTCTCAGAACTGAAATACTTCATACAAAAATGTATATATACCAAAGCGCCAAGACCTATCCTTAAAGCTGAGGAAAGGGCAGACATATGCCAAATGTGAAATACTTTGAATCTGAAAATCGTATACAAGAAACTCTTATAGTTATAGCTCTTATAGTTCTCGAGTTATGCTTAAAAAAGCATGTTACCAAATCGATATTCAAGATCGTGACGCAGAGCATAAAGTAGATGCTCTCTAGAATCTAATCCAAATCCTAAAGTATCGATATATTTGTACGCCAGAAAACGAATTACAAATGCAATTTCCTGTTCAAACTTTACGATTTAAAGACTTCCAAGTATTCAAGTTTAATTTGACTTCATGCTGATTTCATCGCTGAGCTGTTGACGTGACGTTTGGCAGGCATAAAGCGAGCGTGAGGAGCTCTTAAAAACAAGTTTACAGCGCTCGCTAAACTCGAAGGACACCACTCAAAGGACATCGCTAGACAAGGAAATTTTTGCATGTTACACTGAAACGAAGCACCGTAAATACTAATGGACATTTTACGAGCCAAGTGGACAGAGGGCAGCCAAGCAGACCAAATGGACAAACGATGACCAGAATGTGTGTGTGCACGTGTGTGTACGATTGTGTGTGCAAGTGTGTGTGTGTCACAGACACTCGCCAAAAACAGACAACACCCAGACGAAGACCCCAACTGCAACCACCAAACAGAACTGCGCTGTGCCATAAATTGAAAGCCGTGCCTGCAAACAGGATGCAGGAAGCGTGCAGCACGTTTTGGGGGAGAGAGTTCAATAATCGATAAACATTGTAAAGTTCAATCGATAGACAACGGTGCTATCGATAGATAAGACTCGATGATCTGTCGATAAACAAGTTTAAGACTTTGAAATATATTAATATGCTTTCCATGTGCAATCGATAGACCTCAGCATGTGCTATCGATAGACAGCTCAAAATTTATTGATAGACAATGCAATACTCTCTCGATAAGCATTACAAATACAACTCAATACCCTATCGATAAATAACTTTAAGCAATTGACAGCTTAGTACTACAAGTATCGATATGCATTTCCATATGCAAATCGATAGGCCACACTCTGCTCTATCGATAGGCAGCTGCAGACCCTATCGATAACTAAGAGTAGTATAACCTATCCATAGATCTGTACTGGCATATTCTCTCGGCAAGTCTGCTTGAAAATTCTTCTTTTTTTTGCAGATTTTTATTTAATTAATTTGAAAATACCAAAATTAGTTGTAATTTCATTTTGAATTCTCACATTTCGTGGAATTTCTTTGGCAAACAGCCTGCTCGAACCGCAAGAATTTATCATTTACATTTGGTTCTTTTTTGTCTTTCATTTCTTTGCAGTTATGCGACACATGTCAAACTCACCGACACCGCCATCTCCCCTGCGATCTCTATCAGGTATGCTCGTAATCCTTTGCCAACATTCAGCAGACATGCACCAAAATGAAAACAGAAACTATGTTTAGGGTTACGATTTGCCATTTTTGGTCGCGTGGAACGTGGCTACTTTGTGGCAAAATTGATTACTCACACGGGCTACGTAGCCAATTTATTGATGTCTCTCTGTACGGTTGGGTCGGGGCTGCAACGGGTAGGGAGTTATGGGCAAATTTTATAGTTTTCTGAAAAGGATATGCAACAACAGCAACAGCAACAACAACAACGACAAAGACAACCCCACATCCGGCAAATGCAGCTCGAGGCGAAGGATGAGCCTGAGGCTCAGCCCGAGCTCAGAGCGTGCCAGTCGAGTGTCTGTCACTGGGTTAGGCGCTCGGGAATCGGGACTCGGGCTTAGGTAGCCGCTGCTGCTATGCACGTGACTAAAGTGCGACTCTAAAACCCTTAAATGATATAGGGTCCTAGGCAGGCACCAGAGTAAATAGAAAATCAAGTCATTTTCTACTAAATTCTTTGAAAATTTGAATTAAAATCTGCGCTACACAAAGTTGCAGTGTTGAAAAGTGCTAAAAAAGTGTTTTCAGGACGCTTTAAAGAAGAAATCAATCAATCAATTTTCTACAAAAATATTCGAAAAATGCAATTGAAATGCGCATTAAACAACTTTCAGTGTTGCAAAATGCTTATTTTTCAAGTGTTGGGCGAAAAATTAATTTCAGTGTTGGAAAAGCCTCATGTTAGACTTTCCGAATAAAAACTTAAGAAATTCACAAACACGCTTGAAAAATCTTATACAAATGCCAAGAAGAGAATTTCAGTAGTGAAAAATGCAAAATGCATGCACTTAAAAGAATTTTAGTGCTGTAAAAGGCTTTTTCGCTTATTATTAGACAAAAGTTAGTCGTGGGAATATCTAAATACAAGTTCATATACTTATATATCTATAACTATATATAGATCTAACTACTCGACTGTTCAATGAGAATATATGTATATGTATATATATACTTCTATCCCAGTTTAGATTTTAAACAAAAATGTTGCGAATTGTCGTTTTTGAAGCGGTTCCCTTCCCCCTTCCACACACACACACACACAGATGCTGCGTAATGTCGCACACCCACATCTCAAAACAAAGCGCAGTTGCAACCCTGGCGAAATTTGCGGGAGTTCTGAAACTATTCAAGTATGCTAACAACCCCCACAGCATATGCAAAAGGTTATACACACAATGCACACGCACACACACACACGCACACTTTTGACCCCGTCGAACCCCCGCCTGAGTTGTTGTTACCCCGCACCGTCGGGGCGAAACCCTAACAAACAAAATGAAAATAACAATTTGTCAAAATGTAAATTTCGTATCGTCTTTTGGCAACAACTGCGCATTTAAATTTGATTGTGCCAGCAATTATGTAAGCGAGGCGACCCTAACTGATGACCTTTAACTACTCGCCCCCTACCCCCCCCCCCCCCCTCTTCCCTAACCTCCCTCCCTCTCGGAGCATAACAAAGCGCGGCTAATCTATGCAAAAACATGCATAGCGCTTGTTTCGCCCAACCCTCGATGAGTACTAAATTTGAATGGCAACCCTCATTTAAATAAACACTGAACAGGGTTGCCATACACAATTAAACTTGCATTCTCATTGGTTTACGCAAATTAACGGGTCGCGCGTTTATTTAAATTATGTCACAACAGCAAACGACAGCAAACAAACAACAGAAAGTGAACCCTTCATAAAAAAAAAAGGGTTGCTGCCTATTTGAGTTTGGGTTGAAGTGAGGCGAGGCAGGGTTAGGGTAGCCAATCAACTGTTGCTGCCTGCGCCTGTTTAACATATCATTTGAATAGCAACGAGGTGTTAAGCGTGCGGCAAATTGTTTTGGCGTAACCCTAACCACGCCGTCAGGGTTACGCGGCTTTTTAAGTGCCACTTGTTGACTGACTCTTCAAATTCAAATTGCATGCCTCTGCCGCCCCGGGGTTGGGCCCGAAAGGATTAGGTTGCGTGAAGCTAATTGTTGGCCTTTGATAGGGTAATTTGTGCGACAAGCCTCTCGACAATATGATATTATAATCAGCGGTTCCTGTTTGCTTTTCTTTTCTTTTTTTTTTGCTCTTTTTTTTATTGATTGGATGCGCGCTGCTTAAGCGGGGGCGTTACGAGGGCGTTTCGCTTGGTGTTTTTATTTGTGGTTTCATGGGACTTTCAATTTAAAAAGAGTTGAAGTGGTTGCCAGAGGCAAATATGATGAAGGAGTTTTGGGAATATGTAACAGATATATATTGTTGAGAAAGCGTGCAAAATGTAATACAATTGCAATATGTACTTGAATCAAGGGGTATTTTACTTTCGGAAGAACTCTAGACTTTTTTATGTAGATAAAAGTAGCTCAAGCTTTAGCCCATTCTTTAAGCTTGTATACATGCATATGTATACGCTTAACTCGAGAACTATAAGAGTTATTTACACCAAACTTGGTATGCAGTTTCTTGTAGAGCTTATGCTGATAAGAACTATATCATTTTTTGGATAACTACAAGAAAAGTCTGCCAAAATGGTTAAGAACTCATTTTTAGAGGTAGAGCCTTGGGCTTTGGTATATACGCACTTTTTCATGTCATATTTAAGCCCTGAAAACTTCATAAAGAATGGAACGTAAACAACGAAGTTTATCGAGAACGTATTGTTCTGACATAAGGTATAGGCTATAAAGGAAAAAAGGAGCATAGCCGCAGGAAAGTTGGAATGCTCGACAGCTCGGCGCTGCATTCCAGGGTAACTTTTAGTAAAGAAACAGACTGTAAACAACACAGTTTCCTGCCCTGACATAGGGTATAGGCAAAGACAATATAATAACTGATTGTCTGGCTTTTGGAGAGAAGTGGAAAAAGCCATATGAAAAGCCAGGCTATTTGCTTTCTCAGTGTTTACATTGTCTTTGGTATAGGGTATTAAGGAAAGTTAATAATGTTTAAGTTAGCTACCCTGTAATATGCAGCGCGCATAATTGGATAGTTTGAGCACATGCACAGCATACAAATAAATGTATGTGCACATTTGCGTTCGGTTTTATCTTTTCCCATAAATCGCCACGCACTTTGCGCCGTTGCATTCCCGCAAAGAAGGGAAAAAGGGAAAAAAAAAGGCAACACCCCACGAGCGAACAACCCCTAAATGCAGCACCAAAACGAGCGAAGCGAGAGACAAGCGAGAGAGAGACGTGCGAGAGTGCAGCAACACTTCATTTGTCAGTGGAAACATTCACACATTTGGCCATTGTGTGCGACCAGAGGCAGAGGGGCCGGGGCAGTACATCTGCTGAGGCAAAGACAAAACACAGCATCACCTGGTTACCGATTCGATCGACGAGTTGGAGATTCAAACTCTGAACTTGGTGCCTTGTCGCTGCAGGGCCCTACTGCCCGCTGCCCGCTGCCCGCTGCCAGAGCGACAATAGTTTATAGCCTGCAGCTTCTTGACTTTCCGCGTGTGCAACAATGCAACGCGGGCAGCTCCCTTTATTCGGTTTTAGCATAGAAACCCTTTTTACGCCAATCACAAATTGCATTCCGGGTTTTACCCTGTTCAAAAATCATCTAAACATAAAAATGAAAATCCTCGGCTTGTGCGCAATTGTAACGAATTGTTTTGAAAAATGCCAACAACAGGGGGTTGCTTGCAGCGCCAGGGGCGGAGGGCCGGGTTTAAACCCTTATGTAGTTATGTGACTTTTTTTTATTTTTTTTTTTATTTTTAAAGCTGACTGCGTTCTCTGCTAATTATATTAGCCGATTCTTTGCGCTAACAACACAAGTCATAAAAACAGCTGCCCACATACATAATCGGGCGTATTCGAAAGTTTACAACTCCCAACCCCTCCCCCCCGCCCTCCCCTAAACGAACACCCGCATCGAAAATCAAAGTTCTAATCCCTTTACCAGAACTGACTAGCTGTAAAGCCGCTTTAAACAAACCGAACCCCATAAACGAAATCGTTTTAAACAGGTCGAAATTATGGCTAAGAGGGGTTGACGTTATTCTCCAAAAAAAATGCAACATATTTTTTTTTGTAACTTTACAAATTGCTCTAAGCCTGAAAGCGCATTTTCAAAATGGGAAGCTTCGTTTTGGAATATTCGCATATTTATCGAAATTTCCAACATTATTATGCAAAAATTTAACTTAATTTAATGAAATATTTGCCAAAAATACTCAAATATACTCAAAAATTGTATTATAAAAATTATATTTTTTAATTTGAGAAATACGTTTCTCAATTGAAAATACATTTCCTCATAAAATATTAAATCGCAAATGAATTTTCATATTGTTTGCCACACACAAAGAATATTTCTGAACCTTGCGCTTTGTTGATCCTTGACCGAAGTTCGTGTGGATTCTCTTACAGGAAGTTCTTGAATATGCTTTGATATTCCAAATTCTAAAGGCAATTGATGCTCAATAAATGCTCATGACACATTATGAAATTTGAGCTGGGCAGATCTCCAAAAAAAAAAAACCAGAGAAAAAACGAAATATTGAAAGAAAAACGCAAAAACAAAAAGTTGTGAAAAGCTTTCCATGGCTTTCTACGTCCTGTGTGCTGCGTCCTGTGCCGGCGATTTTTCAATTATTATGCATGATTGAATTTTGATCTAGTCTATGGGCCAGGGAGGGGGCGTTCGGGCAGCTGGGCGTGCCACAAAGCAAACCCTTCCGCTTGAGCGTCTATCGGCAATGCAGCAGCTAACCGCAGGACAACAACGCGGCCAAGGACTAAGCAGAAGGCGCATTCAACTGGAAGATTGAATAAAATTTGCCTTAAAATAGCAGAAATATTGAAAACTTGCCCCGAGGCGGGGGGCGTGCCTCTGACCAGTCGTGAAGGCAAGGAGGAGACAGGGGGGGGGGGGGCGGGGGGCTGGTGAATTGGGGAATTGAATTATGCGACGCGTGTTGTCCTGCTATGTCCTGGCTACTTGCAACTTCATTGAGTTGGAAAATTGAAAAAATATATATATTTAACAACAGAATATACATAAAATTGATATAAAAGCTTGCCAAAATTAACCGGCATTGCCCGGTCAAAGTGTTATCACTTCAGTTCAAGCTGAAGCCGAGCTGGAATTTGACAGTCGATCAACCAATCAGTCATTCAATCAGTCAGTGAGTTAGACAGTCAAGCAATGAATCAATTTGTGATTCAATCGTTCATTTAATCACACAGTCCATCAGTCAGTAAGCCCGTCAGTCAATCAGTCAATCGATTGGTGAAGTGGTCAATCAATCATTCAACAGTCAGTCAATCAATCAGCTAATGACTAAGTCAGTTGATCTATCAAGCAATCAATAAACCGGTCAATCAGTCATTCAATCAGTTAGTGAAGCAGCCCGGTTAGCAATCAGTAAGTAAATCAATCAGTGAGTCAGTCAGTTAGTCAGTCAATCAGTCAGTCAATCAGTTAGTCAATCAGTGAACAATCAATAATCAATCAGTCAGCGATTCACTCTATCAATCAGGCAGTCCTTTAAGCTCTGCATCAATCATTAATAAACCAAAGAGACAGCCAATCAGTCTCTCAATCAGTTAGCCAGTCCATCAATCAATCAATCAATCAGTAGTCAATCATTTGCCCTTATGTGATTAAAAACTATTCATATAAAATTAATCCACAAATAACTCAAATTTCCCTCTTTTCTTTACAGACTGCGGCAAGAGCTACGAGGAGGAGGAGGAGGAGGACGAGCTGGAGGCGGATGTGGCACAGAATTTGAGCAGCAAACGCAGCGCACGCCAATTGGATGCCGACATGGAGAACGAGGTGCTCAATTTGGCGCGCAGCGTTTCGCCAGCGGCCAAGCGCTTGGCCCTGGAGCACACGGCCGAGACTGCGCTCGCGGCACAGTCTGCCGCCGCAGCCACGCCGCCCGCCGGAGTGGGCCTGCCGCCAACAGCGCCGCTGGGCTTCGGGCCGGAGGATATGCACCAGGCGCTGCAGCTGCAGCTGCACAGCTACATCGAGATGGTGCGTCAACTGGCGCCCGACGCATTTCCCAATCCCAATCTGGCGACACAGTTTCTGCTGCAGAACTCGCTCCAAGCGCTGGCCCAGTTCCAGGCGCTGCAGCAGCTCAAGCAGCAGCGGGATCAGCAGCTGACCACGCCCAGCGAGTCGCTGCCCTCGCGGCACTATTCCACGCCGCTGAGCAAGTCGCCGCTGCGCAGTCCCTCGCTGAGTCCTGTCGCGCGTTCCATGGAGCCGCAGCAGGCGCAACGCACGCCGCCCAATTCCCTGGCGGCGGCAGGTCTGGGCCTAAGCAGCGCCGTTCTGACGCCCAATACGCCCAGCATGCAGCAGCAGCAGCAGCAGACGATGACGACGACGACAACTGCCTCGAGCACGCCCAAGCCGTTGGCTAGCGGCGCCACAGTGGCCGCTGTGATGGCCACCAAACTGGAGCAGTCACCGGAGGAGACCACCGATCTGGAGGAGCTGGAGCAGTTCGCCAAGACGTTCAAGCAGCGTCGCATCAAGCTCGGCTTCACCCAGGGCGATGTCGGCCTGGCCATGGGCAAGCTCTATGGCAACGATTTCTCCCAGACGACCATTTCGCGCTTCGAGGCCCTCAATCTCAGCTTCAAGAACATGTGCAAGCTGAAGCCGCTGCTGCAAAAGTGGCTGGAGGACGCCGACTCGAGTGTGGCCAAGTCGGCGGGCGGCGTCTTCAATATCAATACGATGACCACCAATCTGTCCAGCACGCCGGAGAGCATATTGGGTAGGCGGCGCAAGAAGCGCACCTCCATCGAGACGACCATACGCGGCGCTCTCGAGCAGGCGTTCGTGCTGAACTGCAAGCCCACCTCGGAGGAGATCAATCAGCTGTCGGAGCGCCTGCACATGGACAAGGAGGTGGTGCGCGTCTGGTTCTGCAATCGCCGGCAGAAGGAGAAACGCATCAATCCCTCGCTCGATCTGGACAGTCCCACCGGCACCCCATTGAGCAGCCATGCCTTTGGCTATCCGCCGCAGGCTCTCAACATGTCCAATGGCGGTCATGTGCTGCTCGAGGCGGGCGGATCCCATTGCGGCAGCTCCATCAGCTCTGGCGAATGATTTGCTGCCAGCTGCCAGCTCTGGTCAGCTTGTATATAGATAGAAAGTGAGAGAGAGAGAGAGAGAGGGAGGGAGCGAGAGAGAGAGAGTACTCCAAATCTTCCACAAACATTCCAAAACTGCATATCGTATGAACCCAATCCCCTAGCAACGCCCCCCCCCCCGCCCCTGCCACAGCCCCTGCCCCTAGGTGATAGTCAAGTCGTATCAGCAGCATTCCATAACGAATTTACGAGTACAGATACATATATATATATATATATTATTATATTGGATCTATGTAGAGAGTTCCTCCTAGTTCCTAGCTATACGAATTTCTACCACATTCTATATCCCCCAACTGTTTGTTGTCTCTGTATATGTGTATATGTACGTGTTCAGCATGCCGATCTATCAAGTATTTATACTACACACACACACATTAATTTAAATATATTTAATATTAAACTTAGACTATGTAACATACCATCTATATAATACTATATATATATGTAATGATATTGTTGTACAATGTCCAGTTGTAAATTGATCTGAACTCTTAGATCTTAACACAAACACAAAAGCAAAAATTTCAATAAAAATTATTTAAAAACTTAATTGATTGCGAAAATTATTGTTGTGTTTTTATTGGGGGCATTATTTAAAAGGAAAAGAAGTGAAATCATAACAGATAATATAAATAAAATAGAGATATCCAAGATGGTTCTTTAAATTTCTCAAGATAAGTATGTATGTATGTATGTATATCTGTATGTATGGCATGTATGTTTAATGCATATACAACCGCAGACAAAATATATTTTCTATTGATTTTGAAATTAAACAGAAAAAGTATTGCCCTACTATGCGATTCTCATAAATTCAAGTAAGCTCAACCAGTTTCATGCATTGCATATAAGTTTTATATCAAAAACTGGCTTATTAACTTAATCTTTGCTTATAATCTTTACTGTAAACTTTCGTTCGATCTCGCTCTGATACATTATCTTTCGCTCGCTCTCTCTCTCTCTTTCTTATTTTCCCTGCTCTCCTTTGTCGTTCCAATAGGTGGAAAATGTCTTAAGTTTTGGGTAAGTACATTCATGTACAGGCATATATTTTTATGTTAACTAGAAACAATTTTCCGGAAATCCTCGTTAAAGTATATAATAGGACAATACCGACCTGGACACAGGTGTTCTTTTGATATTTCCAGTATTAAAAAAAAGCATATTAATGGAAATTTTCTCTTATTATTTATAGGCAGATATTCAAGCTGTGCTTGACTTATTGTGCTTGTGAGTTATGGAGTATTAAACTAGAAAGAATTAGAAAACTAGTAAAAACTTGTTTGCCACAAAAGGTTT